ACACTAGTGGTGTTTCACAGACGTGACACTCGCTACTGCACAGTGAGCAGCTGTGCAGGGCCTTCCTCTTATTGTCCGCCGTTAATAGTTCGCCTGAGTTCTAGAGCAGACGTGGCAGCAATCCAGCTGTCCACGGCGGGTCAGGACAGACGTGACTGCGTACCAGCTGCGTGTGCTGCGACTTGGTCAGAGTCGTCTACACTCTAAGAACCCGGTGTCACTCCTGCCTTTGCACAACGAGGGTTTTTGCAGGGCTTATCGACCTCCTGGGACGAGCTGGAAGGGGCTTCAGCGTCCTTACTCTGCTGTAGTTCGTTTAGCCGCAATATCTCTCCCTTGGGTTCGAAAATTAACGTTTCCAGGGCACACTACGAGGAGGTGAACTACTTCATGTCCCTTGGCACTACTGGGTTTTTTTTTATATACAGGGGGGAATCTGCTCCCAGATACCTGAGAAGATAACTCAGGGTGTGGGGATGGGAGCTGTAGCGCTCCCAACCCACTAAACCTTACCCTGTGCTCTAGTCCCTTGCCCTCCCCGGAACCGCCCGAAGGCATTACGTCATGGGAGGGGGCCGGTTGCGCTATGGCGCATCACTAAGTGTTGTGTCAGATGTGACACTCGCTACTGCACAGTGAGCAGTTGTGCAGGGCCTTCCTCTTGTTGATCGCTGTTAGTTGTTCGCCTGAGTTCTAGAGCAGACGTGATAGCCAGCCAACTGTCCAGGGCCAAACAGGACAGATGTGACCGCTTACCAGCTGCGTGTGCTAAGCACTCTAAGAACCCGGTGTCACTCCTGCCTTTGCACAACGAGGGTTTTTGCAGGGCTTATCGACCTCCTGGGACGAGCTGGATGGGACTCCAGCGTCCTTACTCTGCTGTAGTTCGTTTAGCCGCAATATCTCTCCCTTGGGTTCAAAAATTAACGTTTCCAGGGCACACCACGAGGAGGCGAACTACTTCATGTCCCTTGGCACTACTGTTTAAGGATGATCAAATGTAAAATACTGTGGTAGCCACAGCACAGTTCTGTCAAAACCTCAACATTTTAATGTAAAGCCTAGAATCATACACACCTTACCTATACGGGAGCCCGTAAAGCTGCTGCGACAGAGTAATTAAACATAAAACCCTCATACACTCACTAAGCCACATTATGGACGTGATAGGGATTATCCAGTCGGTGGTCACTCCGTAGATGTACGACACTATACCAAACCTAGATGAAAAGTACGATGCTAATAAAGGGTGTCCCACATTAAATTGCATCACGAAAAAAAAACGCTGTAGAAAATTACCCATTGGGTATTTTCTCTTGAATATTTGGGTAGAAGTAGTTTAGAGTGTATTGTTTACACTGTATTTATATCGCTGTCAGTTTTTCAACAGTTGCAAAAAATGTTGGAAGCACATGGAAAATCCTCAACTCTCTCATCGGGACATCGGAAAACCACTCAGGATCGTGCAGTCAACGGTGAGTCGAGTGATTAAACATTACTACGAAACTCTGAGCATCGAACGGAAGGAGAAATGCGGTCAGAATGGATGTTCTATTAGTGATCAGGATCACAAGCGTGTCGTGAAAGCGTTTAAGCGGAATCCCAATGCTTCGGTCAGGCATGTGGCCAAAAAGTTGAATCTGTCCAAGTCTTTCGTTCATAGAAACAAAGACCGGGAGGTACTGCATACGTACAAAGTGCAGAAGGCTCAAAATCGTGTCGAAAAGCAAAATACGGTGGGAAAGTCACGGGCCCGGAAACTGTACACCCAGATGCTGACGAAGCTTCATTGTCTCATCATGGATGATGAGACTTACGTCAAGGCGGACTTCCGGCAGCTTCCGGGGCTTCTGTTCTTCACCGCCCAGCACAAGTTTGATGTTCCGGAGGAAGTAAAGAAGCAGAAACTTTCAAAGTTTGTCAAGAAATATATGATTTGGCAAGCGATCTGCTCATGTGGCAAACGGAGTGCGCCGTTCGTGACTACCGGGACTGTAAACGGGGAGATCTACCTCAAGGAGTGTCTACAGAAGCGCCTGCTTCCTCTGTTGAAGCAACATGAGGGTCTTACGATCTGCTGGCTGGATCTAGCTTCGTGCCACTATTCAAATGTTGTCCTGGATTGGTACGAAGCCAACGGGGTCACTTCCCCCCAACGCACCGGAACTTAGGCCCATCGAAAAATACTGGGCTATTATGAAGCAGGCACTACGGAAGCATCCCAAGGAGGTCAAATCCGAGGAAGACATGAAGAAAAAGTGGGTTTCCGTTCAGAAGAAGCTGCAGCCGGATGTTGTACAGAACCTAATGAGTGGAGTTAAGCGTAAGGTGCGAGCGTACGGTTATGGTATTGAAGTTGAATTAAATAAATGTGCCAAAAACTTACTAATGGGTTATATTTTATTGTCTGAAAGTTTGAAAAGGATCGGTCAACTATGTAATTTTCTACAGCGTTTCTTCCGTGATGCAATTTGATGTGCGACACCCTTTAAAATAAGAGCCTGACGATTCTTCAATCAACTTGGGCCTTATCACGTAACATATGTGGAACTCGATCATCAAAAATCGACCCCATTTCAGTGATTTCATGTGGTATAGAAGGACACCAATCTGTCAAATTGATTATACCAGCTGTAAAATGAGTAAGGGGATCAAGGCGTAGTCAATTTTATTAAAATAATTCTAACTTGGTTTATAATGATGTGTCTTCTTAGTACTCGTAAACTCATGTCTAAGTATTCGCTTAACCATTTACGTTCTTCGTTTAGAATAATATAGCAAACTTTATTTATAATAATTTTGTAACTAACTGTATCAATCTTTGATTTCATAAGGTTTCGTATAAGAAAAAATACGGCTGTGGAAATTTGGAGTGCATTCAATTAACATAATATCCATAATCAATCCAATACAATTCAACCAGGTCGAAGAGATGTTGAAATATTGGATCTGTAAATAGGTAAATTACTGTTTAACAACGATCTTTATTGACTTCTGATCGACTTGAAAATACTAGTGAAAATATCCTTTGAAAAGCCCCCTGTAGAGCTATTCGAAAAAAATAATGGCCGCATTATCAAATGAGTGGTAAACAGTAAACTCCGTCAACCATTTAAACAGCAGAGGAACAAAAGAGACGATAAATTCTCTGGGCTTCACCTCTTTACCCCCATTGCGCATTACCTTGACAATTGACAATTCGCGTTTTAGTTCACTCTGTAACATCAGTCTGTGCGTGAAACATGGTAAACATTTCCTTAAGATACTGTCAATCTTTCCTTGAGAAGACGGTGGCTTTCTGGTACCATGGTGGAATGAAGAGATAAGACAAAACCCGCTAGATTTCAAGCACACATTGTCAGATGCTTATGGGATTTTACATAGGAGTAAAGAGTTGCAGAGTTGCCGTCAACAGCAATGCTTACTGAGCATGCAACGATATATCTGCTTTTCTTTCATAAAGGACAATTCCGTAAACGTAAATGATTACTTGTTCGATGAATTTCTCGAGAGTGAAAACTCACTCAAGTAAACCATCACAATGATTGTGTAGAGCGAGAGTCCTCCTATCCGATAGAATTCGTGGCTTATATTGAATGACTTTTTTTTTTAATGCGTTTATTTTCCAGGCTCATTTGCCGTTGCTTTGCGGAGCCGATATTCATCGTTTGGGCTACAAAATTACTTAAAACTAACGTTAGTAAAGCGGGGGCTGATTACTCGCGGCTATCTCGATGTTAGGGGTAACAAATTGTAACAAACGAGTGGCAGGGTAGGGATTGAGAACACAAGGTTTTTTAGAGCAATGTGCTCTTGATCTAGAACTAAGCGACATACTGGAAAAAAAGACAAACATGGGGGTACACCGATGGAGACCTAATTGATTGACTTTGAACTACGAGAAATTTACGAAAGAAGTCATTGTTTACGTTTTCGACATTGGTCCTTATGAACGCTGAGTGTCGATATCACGTTAATTTTGTTTTGACACATCGATGGCCAACTATGCCAGTTATACCACTAAGGCAACACAAAAAAGGCGTCAACTTTTAGTCAGCTATTTTGCATGAAGTTCCACATATGTTATGTGGCCTTATCCAGGTTCTTCAGTAGGCAATTAGACCTCACTAAAATTGCTCCATGCTCCATAGAGACACATCAAATTATAAATTATGTTGGTTAATAAGCTACTTCATATAGTTATATATTGATTTTTTTTGTTTTTTAAATAATTTATAACAAAAAAAAGTTGAACGGGATCCTTGGTGGACTATTTTTAAACAGGTGTCAAATGAAAGGTAAAAAGATATATTTTCAAATGGTGAAAGATTCAGTGATGCTTATTTTTTTGTTCAAAAGTTTCTTTCCATACACACCGTGAATGCGTTCTGCAAAGTTTCATGCAAATCAGAGAAGGTCGCGTCAGATCGATTTGTCATTCGGCGTGGTAGTTCCAATGACCAATTAGGAATTAAATGAAAATTTTTCCTTCTTTTTGGTGAACGTTCAATAGACATCATGTAACTAAAATTCAGCAATCTGATTGTCAAAAGGTGCAAAAGTCTGCAACGTTTCACCTCCTTCCAGCTGCTCTCCTAACACACTTGAATCACCCGACCTAGTAACGCCATGGGTGAACATTTTCCAGTGTGCTTTTAATTGCATCGTTGTGACATGGAAGCCCCTAATTGCCCTTCGTCTGTTTATGCTGTGACGAAAGTTGTTGCGATTTGTAAGTTGCAAAATATCCAAGAAAGAAAAAATCACCTCATCTAGCACTTTTCACACAAAAGCAAGGCTATAAATAGGCTCCAAGTGGGCTGAAAGAAATATCAACCACCGAAGCAAAGCGATCATACGACCGGGTACTGCGGCCTCCGTGTGTATTAATAGGAATAGACACGAAACCTATTAGATCTATGATTAGTTCAACTGCCAACCACTGCGGTTGCAGAACATGCGAAATGCGACAAAACTGACTGATTTTACTTTAATTGCAGCTCACATAATTCCCGGCCTGTTCCTCATCGGGCTCATCTACGCCGGGTTCGATCCGTTCGTGTGCGTCGCCATAATCACCCTCTCGTTGGGTTTCAACGGCGCCTCCACCATGACGAATCTACAAAACTCACAGGACCTCGCCCCCAACTTTGCCGGTACCCTGTACGGAGTGATCAACTTTGTCGGAACGACGAGCGGCTTCATCTCTCCCATGCTGGTGGCACACTTCACCGCCGTCCAGAGCACGATGGACGAGTGGCAGTATGTATTTGCGATAGGAGCCGCGGCCTACATCATTCCGGCCTTGGTCTTTGTCCTGTTCGGCTCTGCTGTGGTACAAGAGTGGAACGAGCCCAAGCAGCATGAGCCCAAGACAACGACCAAACAGGTGCAAGAGACGTTTTGAATATGGGGAGGCAAACCCAAGCCCTCTTCCGAGGCCTCCTCTTCACCCACAGTGATCCAGTAGCTGTAGAGCTGGTTGGAGCTTTTCCAGCAAGCTTTTCTCATTTTTTTTTTTCTTTCTGTAAATATAGCTGAGTAATGCATGTGTGTTAGGAAATTCACATCTCAACGAATCTCATTTGTAATGATAGTCAACTGTAGCCGTTAAGTGAACCAAGGAGAAGTATTATTAGCTAGGGCTGGCCAAGTTATAAATATCGTAAATTGGTATATAATTTTTCTATATACAACAAACCGGCACGTAAATTATGTAATTCAGTGAAGCAAGCGTGGAGATAGTGGTCCGTTTTTTATGTAACGACAACTGTATGGGCTCTTATGCTCAGCCTAAACTAAACCATTGCGGCATCGAAAATAATATAATAAACATGTCATTCGAAGATAGATTTGCCACAAACCTATCAAACGCAGACCGTTTGATTAATTGCATGAAAATGATTGAGAAATCCAATACCAGAACTTCGCGTTCATTGCAACAGTAATGATCTGGATTGAGGCACGCCAGTGCGGTAAGGTCCTCGACAAGATGGTGAATCTTTTTTTTATATTCTATATGATGAAATTGGCAAAATCAGCTTATGGATGCAAAGAGTAGAAGGAAGTTTAAACCCATAAGAGTAAATAATTGAAATGATGATACGAAATGGATCTGTAAACATGACAAAGTGCGGGGATTCCTGTGCTCACATTGTTTGGGAACAAAGCAATATTTGCACATGAAAAAAAATCAGCTTGTCCGGTCGAAGCAGGTAGGGTAGGATGGTATAAAACACACCCCTGAATTAAAATGGCACCGCGCTGTTTTTCATAGCTTTCCGATCGTTAAATCGTGTAATGGGTAATGGGAAACCATGCCATTTTACGCCAGTGGTGCATTATGGACTGTTCCTCCATACACCTTCAAACATGGCAAATATTTAGATATCGTCGTTTTCGTGCAGCACTGTCACAACTCATAATAAAAATCGGCGAAAATGTCACATTGTTTTCGATTTTTTTTATGTTGATTTTATGCCTGAACTCCAATGTTTTGTCAATCCACCACTAGACGAACATATGGCATTTGGAAATAAGGTGTTAGAGGCACGCTATGTCTGAAGGCAATTATTATGCAAGTTGCATGTACCTCCGATTTTTTTTCACAGGAAGTTAATATAGATGATAACAATCAAATCTGTGAAAGACTTAAAATATTTCATCTTGGGTTTTTTGAGAAAAAGTGTTATGAAGTTGACATCAGGCATCGAAAATCATTTACATTAATTTCGTGCATTCATTTAAATTTGTTTACCAATAACTTTTTTCATAAACCAAATTTTGTTGAATAATATATGCAGTTTTTGTAGGTCTTAATATTTGTTACAACTTTTGTGAACATCTCAAATCTGTATCTCTTATGCATGACGAACTAGAGAGATTAGTGTTTTTCGGAGATTGTAAATTATTCAATGAAAAACAATATTGGTCTCTGCTCGCTCTAGTTCATCATGCATTAGAGATACAGACTTGGGATATTCCCGAAAATTTAAGTCAATATCATGACGTATAAAAACGTGATACATTTTTTTTACGATATTCTGTTGATAGACAAAGTTAAAAGCAAATAAATGTATATAAATACACGGGATTAATATAAAAGATTTTCCATACCTTCGGCTTTCGATGAAGGTGTATAACAAATATTAACGATACAAAACTATTCTCTGACAATACAAATCAATAATATAATAATATGATTTGTTTCAAAAGTGGATTAAAGTAGTCATAAGTATAAGTATTGGCGCTACCATAAGGTTTCACGACTTTTCCATAGTTTTATTTTGCATTTATAAGTATGTAAAATATTAAAACAGTTATTTTTTTATCAAATTGTTTTTTTTTTTTTTTTTTGTATATTAATTTATTTGATAAGGCTCAACCGAATTAACTTAACAGAGCCGAGGATTCATGGTCACTATACAAAACATCTTAAAGCTATAGTCAAAAGGTACAACACAATAAACACTTTATCTTCCGCTATCCAAAAAGCCTCCTCCATCAGAACTGGAGCCGCTTCCAGTAGTTTCATTGTATGGCAAATTGTTGTACGCCAACGAGGGTCAGAGCGCGTCCATTGCAGCAATGGACGCAAAACGTGGTCAGCACTCACACACTCATCACGAAACGGTTGCTTTCCAAAGTCGACGACGCATCGACCGAAAGAACTGCTGATGAAGAACAATGAGGAGGACCACACAATGGTTGCTGCCGAGTAAACAGACGATCGCGTAGCACACATCGAGAGTGGCCTGCTTTTGTCGACAGCCGAGTGAACACTGTTTTATCAAATTGTATTATTTTTAATAATTTCCTTCATTTATTATCAGAACCTATATCTATATATAATGAAAATGTTAAGCAAATGTGATGCAACAAATAAAATGAAGATTACTTTATATGAGCGCTGTTATACGAAACCACAGCTTTCAACAGGTTCTCTTCGTATTTAACATGATTCTCCGCCACTTTAAAGTTACTCCATGTTTAGATGAAATCATGATGCACTGCTTCTGTTGCTGTGATATTTGACAATAATGTGATATTTGACAATATGGAATTTAGGGGTTACTGGAAGGTTTGCGGTAAGCCAACTTTCACAAAAAAGATCAATGGACTTTTCGAAATCATCGTTGAGCTCATCGCCAAAACAATGGCTTATCATTGCATGCATGTTGTCCAAAACCTTTACCTGACGATCTAGATTGCCTCCTATCAAAACTGTGCGTTTATCCACACACTTAATCTAGCTCGGTAAAATCTCCAACAGCCGATTATCTTGGAATTAAATTTTGCTGATAACTCTGCAAAATATCTATTTGTTAGCAAATATCTCAGCAAAATGTTGTTTGTTAGCTGAGTCTCGGCAATTGTTTTACTGAATCTCAGCAAAATAAATTGCAAAACTACTCGGCTGTTGGAATCTCGGCAAAAAAATTTAAGTGTGCAGCAAATATCTACAATGACGCCCAGCGAATCCAAATTGGGCATGCCGAGTTGCATTTGCGGCAGCCGCCCAGTTTGAAGCGTAATTGGGCTCATTTTCGGCCACGTTGTTGTAAACTGTGTTCATGAGGCCCAAAAAGAGGTGTAGAGCAGGTGGAGGACAAATATCCAGAATCTTTGTATCATCATCACCGTTCAAGACAGGTTGATTTACACAGTTGAAAAAGTTTTTGGCATCTTTGTTGATTCCTCCAGATTCTTTCCAACTGTTCACAAAAGTCCTGATGGAACCAAGTGTCCGTGCAAAGCCATTGCATTTCCCTAAATCACTCTTGCGTGCCGTGCAAAATGCGCAAAGAAACGTTGCACTATTTGACATTACTCCAGCCAAAATATTGATAACCTTGAGATCACCTGAAACAAAAGAAAAAGTTGAATAATGATAATGGGACAAATTAAACCTTAATCTCACCAGTCACAATTGCTTTTATTTTATGTAATCCAAGCCTCAACCACAACAGGGAAATGTTTTTGTAGTTCTCTTGAATTCCTGGAGCCAAGGCAAGAATGAAACACTTTCGAACACCTGAGTCTTTTAGTCCGGTAGTGCTCATTCCTTCTTCGATGGTCATGATGATTTTAAGTGATCCTTGTCCGCCATCGATCCCGATCTTGCAAATGATCTCTCCCGCATTACGTCGAGCTTTGACGTACTCAATCAACCCCTCAACACTTGTACACATCACAACAGATCGATTCTCTATTGCGAAGGATTTTCCTTTGCATGAAGTCATGTCGCACTTCATCACGGAAAAGAAATCCTCGAGCTCGGACAACATGAGACCAGGCTGGATAATTTGACGACCGTTCTGTCTCATGTGCTTAGCCAATTTAAGCGTCTGTATTATCATATTATTTATTTAGACGAACCAGATAACATACTGTTATATACTGACTTTATTAATACTCAGTGTTTGTGCAATGTCATATATATGTGCAACTACCCTACCCACTATACCACTACAATATACAAGCAACAATAAATTAGTGTCTCGTATGCCTCCGCCATGGCAGGACGGCAAAGCAATCGGTGTAGTTTTATTTTATTTACTGATCACAACGCAGTAGGGTCCTCCCGTGCGCGATCACTCAGATTTAAGTCCGTTTTAATATTGAGTAAATCTTCGTGAGAGAACTGTGATTTTTTTCCCGGTTGTTTTAAATTGAAATGCGTTGGTTTTCCTGAGACGTTCGAAAAACTAACTTCCGTTAGTTTTTTGTCAGCTACCTCTCTAATGGTTTTGGCAATAAAATGGTCCTTACTTTTGTCCGCTAATTCGGAGAGATTTTGCAGTTTCCGGGTTTTACTACATGTATGTCGTTTCTCCGGGGAAACTTGCGTCAAACATGCTTTGCAGATTTTAATATAACTTTTTTTCTTTTTCAGCGATACCTTTTTCTTGCACATATCTACACATTTTAATTGCGTAGCTCGACAGATGTCACACTCAATATGGTTTGAACTTCTTGTACGTATCTTTACTTTTAGATACACGTGAACCTCAATTCTCTTGAACGGCTCACCTTTCTTACACCGGTAAACGGCAATGTAGCATGCGTGGCACAAAACTTTCGGATACCTTTCGTCTTCTACATTGAACTCCGGTAAAAATCTTCCAACGATCGTCCCTAATAAAGTGGCGTGAATTTTTTTTGGATGGAATCGCTTTTCCGAAGCACAAAAGGCACCCTTTCTCTGTATTTTTCTCGTGAGATTTCTTCATTTTTGCGGATTTGCTTAACGATACGAAAATATCACAGACGATAGACCACAATATTTACACGTGACAAAAAATCAATGCTTACTTAGATTACATGGCTGCCTTTGACTGTCATGCCCATTGTTATCTCTTTTACACTTATGAGGGATGAAAAATGCGAATAATTGTTGATCTAGGAGACAACTTTAATCGATCTTACGCAAAGTGGTCAGAATCAAGATGGTTGTTACTTGAGAACAACAACAACAAATAGAACACTTAAACGGAAAATTAACTACTTGAATCCACTTGTGAAGCAATTTAAAATTGATTTGTATAGTCAGAAAATAGTTTTGTATCGTTAATATTCGTTATACACCTCCACACGGGAAAAAATCCGATCTCCGAAATGAGAAAAATGACTCATGATTTCATGAACACAGCGTATTTTCATGTTATGAAAATACACCATGAATAATATTCATGATATCATGAGCAACTTTTGCGTAACGCAGCAAATATTCCCAAAATCATGAATCATCCGAGTTGAAATCATGAGATAAATTCATGGGTTTAACTTTTAACCAAAAAATGCAAAAAGAATAAAATAAAG